TTTTGGCAAAGAAGCTAATTGCCTATTCATCAGGTTAGACATTGTAAAATTCACCATTGAAAAGAGAAATCTAACAATTATAAGCAGTTCTAAAGCCGCAGAAGTGGTACAATCTTATGAATCAGATACGTTGACGCGAACAAACCCTTCTGGTTGACTCAGGCAGGACTTCTGCTCAATTCTAGACTCCATCCATGTAAAGTTTGGATAGTGTTTGTGCCATACTTTTCGTATTCTAGGATGCGATATTATTGGTACTGTAGAGTGTATTATTTCTTGAATATAGTCTCTGAGAAATCAACATTTTATTTTGTACACTTTTGGGAGAGGGGGGGAGGGGGTCCTGAAAAGTGTACGTTTAGTACGTCGTGAAAATGTTGACAATTGTGAAACGACCCCATACACTATTAAATAAATTAGATAGACTGTGTTACGGGGTAAAACAGCACCAAGCGCGGGAAGCCAGCAGTATAAAAGATCAAGCCACGTCGGGAGGGAGAGAGAGAAGCGGCGACAGGCCGTTGGATTACTAGCTGGCTGGCTGCTGTCTCTCGTGCTGTGGTGGGTTGCCTTTGTTTTATCAAGTGTATGGTGTGTTGTCTTGTATATTGGTTGTGTTCGAAAGACCTGTGCGAAATGAATATATAATATGGATGCTCTTTTTATGTGACTACGGGATCACTTTTACATCACTGAAGGTCATCACCAAAATACGCCAAAGACACATGGACATTACCTGTAGTTGGGTAACACGATAAAAAACCAACATCTCTAACTCTACGGAGATTGATATGATAATAATGATTAGTAGCAGGTCAGTACAGTTTGTAATGTCGAAGAAACTAAGTGTAAACTGTGTAATGGAGATTATTAGCGAACAGTTGTACATTATATCTCAGAGTGCCATGTGTTACAGCCTTTCAGACCACCTAGTATGCGGTACGGAGAACTATTTCATACCATCTGATGTCTTAGAAGATATACTTATGTCGTATAAATTTGGAATGTAGTATCATATGACCGCATTTCAAATGTAGCAATGCATTTCCACGCCCAATTTGAACGCCGGCGTGGCAGATGAGTAGATAAAGGACTGTATAATTATTCCTTTCCTGTAAATGATATAGCGTTTATTATAATAATGTTATAATCTACAATTCAAATGTAATACCATTATATAATGTTATGATCATGTATCAAATGTACCACAGCTTGCCCACGCCTGTGCAGTTAGCCAGGGCTGGATAATATAATGGTTAGTTTAGTATTAGTAACATGAGATTATTATAGAAAGCGTGTCAGTGTATGGACTGGGTCGTGTATTCACGCGTGTGTGCCTCTCACCATCGGTGTGCAAATGAGTGCATTTGAACACGTGTGCGTGCATCTAATCGTCTATGTGGGCATCAGTGTGTCTTTTTCTTCGGGAATAAGAAAACGTGGAGTAATAATGATAACAAACATTTGTTGTTGCCAGAGGCGCCAAGTGGCTGGGTGAGGGATATTTTGTCCCCATAAATTGTGTTTGTCTCCCTCAAGGGCTACATTTTGTTTGTTTATGTACGTATTGTTTCATTACCTTTTGGACTTCTAACAATAAGATAATGCCTATCTGAAAGTAGGATCAGTGCAGTTATAAATATAGTAAGTCATTTTATTTGCATATACAAATACACTTTTTCTTCAAAATAAAGTATGAGGAAATTTGTAGAAAGGAATGTGATTTAAAAATCAATACTCTTCTGTACAAAACTTCTGTATAAAACGTATGCACATATAAGGGTACTCCTCAGCAGTAAAATTAATGTGTATATATCACAAAATAATCTATTACTTTTTTGTGTGTGTAAATATGCATTTATAAACTATGTAAGGACTTTACCTCTAATACTGCTTCGGCATAGGAGCGATGGTAGCGGGAGCGAGAGCCAGTGCTGAAGCTCCGAGAGCTGGAGCCTTCCAGATCCACGACGGAGTCCTTCACTTTCTTGTCCTCCCAACCTGCCAGCCCTGTCACCGTAGGACTTCCTCTCACTGGAAAGTCCCCCTTGCACTAGTCCCTGTACTCGCATGCTCTCTTCTTGGAGATAGATTGTCAGGATCCGTCCGGAGGACAACACGCAGCTGATGGCGTCTCGGTCGACGAGCTCAGGCACGCCAAGCGAACGGCACTAAGCTCACTCGGGACACTTGCTTCCGTCCGCTTCCTCCTGCTGACCCTCGAACAGCCAGTCCTGCCCTCACCAACTGACACGCTCACGACGCCCTTACTGAACATCAAAAAAGTCTATTCACCAATTGAAAAGGAAAAAAAACCATTGATTACGGAAAACACCTATTCACTCTTCCAGAAATAATCATTTAAATTGTGATATGAAATGGGTTTAGTGGAAAAAGCAGATTACACCCACTGTGCGAGTTCTGATCGATCAATGATGCCAACAGCCCTGAGTTTCCAATTGAGGTTGCGCTGGACGGGGTTAGGACGTTTTTTGTCGTTGGCATGGTCAACTTTCGACAGGTCCATTCGTTAGTCTTTTCCAGCACTTCTTTCACGCTGGTTGAAGCTCTCACGAACATTCTCGTAAGAAATAGTCTTCAGTGAATACACCCCTTCTGTCCACGTGTAAAACCATAGTTTCGTTGAAAGCTTGAATGTCAAATTTAAACCTTGTCAGGTTTCATCTTTGTTCCTTGTTGAACATATGTCCGTTTTCAAAGTCTTCGTCGGTCTTCTTGAAAGGACTGGTTAGCGCTCATTGATTTGCCTGGCAAATGTCCTAAAATCATCGTCATCGAAGAGAATCATTATTATTATCATTATTATTATCATTATTATTATCATTATTATTATCATTATTATTATCATTATTATTATCATTATTATTATCATTATTATTATCATTATTATTATCATTATTATTATCATTATTATTATCATTATTATTATCATTATTATTATCATTATTATTATCATTATTATTATCATTATTATTATCATTATTATTATCATTATTATTATCATTATTATTATCATTATTATTATCATTATTATTATCATTATTATTATCATTATTATTATCATTATTATTATCATTATTATTATCATTATTATTATCATTATTATTATCATTATTATTATCATTATTATTATCATTATTATTATCATTATTATTATCATTATTATTATCATTATTATTATCATTATTATTATCATTATTATTATCATTATTATTATCATTATTATTATCATTATTATTATCATTATTATTATCATTATTATTATCATTATTATTATCATTATTATTATCATTATTATTATCATTATTATTATCATTATTATTATCATTATTATTATCATTATTATTATCATTATTGTTATTATTATTATTATTATTGTTATTATCATTATCATTATTATCATTATCATGATGATTATTACCATTATTACTATTATTATTATTATCATTATTATTATCATTATTATTGTTATCGTTATCATTATCCTTATGCATATATCTAATGCATATACATATGCACATACATTCATACATTCATATATATATGTATACATATATATATCCCTCTAATTCACCTTAGCTACGTTTCTCACTCATTTTTTTTTTTTTTTCTTCGTGTTTCTCGTCTTTCCCTCATGGATCCCTTTCACTTTTTCGTACCTTCCTGTCATTTATTGTTTGTATAGTTTTATTATTCCTTTTGTTTCATGTATTTTTAATCTTATTTTAAACTTATCATACACTATTAAATAAATTAGATAGACTGTGTAAAACAGCACCAAGCGCGGGAAGCCAGCAGTATAAAAGATCAAGCCACGTCGGGAGGGAGAGAGAGAAGCGGCGACAGGCCGTTGGATTACTAGCTGGTTGGCTGGTGTCTCTCGAGCTGTGGCGGGTTGCCTTTGTTTTATCAAGTGTATGGTGTGTTGTCTTGTATATTGGTTGTGTTCGAAAGACCTGTGCGAAATGAATATATAATATGGATGCTCTTTTTATGTTGCCTTTTGAATTAGCCAGTGATGTTATGTTATTGTTCTTTTTATTGTGACTACGGGATCACTTTTACATCACTGAAGGTCATCACCAAAATACGCCAAAGACACATGGACATTACCTGTAGTTGGGTAACACGATACCAAACCAACATCTCTAACTCTACGGAGTTTGATATGATAATAATGATTAGTAGCAGGTCAGTACAGTTTG